GCTCTGCCAGAGATGAAGTGGAAGCAACAGCAGTGGTTCCCAAATTCATGCTCTCGCTCTGCTTCAGTGAGGCTATGACAGTGAGCTGTCCCCATGAACAACAACAACAAAAAAAATCAAGAAAAAAAAAAATATCAACATTTTGTTTCATAAACAGTAAAGCTCTGCAGAGATGGGCCTTGAGCAGCATCCTCCTGCCCAGAGGGAATTAAAGCACAAGCCATCCAGGCAGCACAGGTGTAATGGCATTTATAAGAAGGACACTGTTTGCAGTGCAAACGTACCTTTGATTCCCACTGTGTGCCTTGGGTAATCAAGATGTTCAGAAAGCAGAGAGAAGTCAGCTGCTTCCCAGGTTTGCTAGCTAAACCATCACTGGCAGAGCAAGAAGTCATCACCTTCCAGCGTTTGCTGACCAGCTATAAAAACCAGAAGGCAACCCCCATCTAACCACAGCCTACTTGGGGCGTGGATGACACATGGATATCTCCCACGCTTTGTCCTGATGGCACAGGACAAAGCCAGGGAGACAGCCAGCTGCCTGACAGCACCTTAGGTGGGATGTGCAGTGCTTTTTACCCAAGCAACGCTTTCTCCTTTGCCTTCCCTACCCTCAATCCGCTTCTCCAACACCATGGGGCTGCTCCCCAGCCTGCCAAGGCAAATGACAGATCTCCGGGTCTGTCACCCTTGTGCAAAGAAGGGGGCTGAGGCTCAGAAAACCCAAATGTAATAGTTAAAGCGATTCCCATACGGCTGTTCCGGGCTCCAACCTCCATTCTGATTGCCCAGGCAAAAGTCCTCCAGGCACGTGACAGAATAACCAGTGGTCAGAAGCCCTGGGGCAGCAGAAGCTGTCTCAAACCCGCAGTCACGCTCCCAGGAGCTCAACCAGAAGGTGCCATTCCCAGGCCTGGGGCAGGCTGGCTGACTTGCCAGCAAACAAGCTGGGAAAAGAGCAGCACCATGCTGAAAAAGGCACAGAGATGGAGGGTGCATGATGGTGGTCACCATGCTGAAGGTGAAGGTAGAGAAGAAAGAAGCTTACAGACATGTTGCAAGTCAGAAATCACCACCCACCAACCTTTGTCCTGATAAAGCATCACTGTACCACACCTTGTATCCAGGTTTATGTCTCTAATATAGACTTGGTAACAACATATACTCGCTTATGCCTGGCTCCAACCCCTTCCTTGACAATAATTTTATTTACTTTTCATTCTGTCTGGGTGGAACAGGTAGCAAATTTCCAAGTCTCCCTTGCTTCAGCTATCCAGTGTCTCTGTCCCTGAGTACAGAGCCTCTCCATAAGCCATTCACGGCAGCCAGACTGCCACCCCGGAATTGATGCCTGTGCGGCACCCAGCCCTTGCTCCAAGAGACTCCATCTCTGAGAAATAAGAGGCCACTTCTCTGTTACACCAAGCAAACTGCTGCTCTGCTGCTGCCAAACCACATGCAGCTGAAGGACACGTTCAGCAGCATATTTCCACCACAACTTCAGCCCTCCTTTTCTAAGTCACCCACGGGATTTAAGCAGAAAAAGTAGCACCTATGGGGCTACCAAAGCCTAAAATGTACTGCCGCAAGGAGCTGATAGCACTGGGGGGTGAGAAGGGGGTATGCTCAACTGTCACTCATCTCAGACTCCCCAGCATCAGGGACATGGTGGATGTATGCATTTCTGATGGATATTCTCGCTGCTGATGTTGCTGCCTCTCCCCTCCGGTGGCTGACAGAGCACTGCTGTCAGATTTTTGCCTTGCACTGTTTTTCACTGTCTGCATTTTCCATTTCTTCCTTGTTATAAAAACCCCCCCCCCCCCCCCCCATATATCACGGAATTGGTTTTTTGTGTCAGTAACAAGGCTGAGATCTGGCTCACAGGGTCCCTGCAGTGCAACCTGCCAGGGGACATGGAAAGAAAGAGGGCAGAGGCATGAGAAATTACTAATGCTAAAGGAAGACCCACTTGGGAGGAAAAAGGCTCCTAGTTTGTTCAAAACAAATTGGCTGAGAAAATCCTGGATGGAAAGGAAAGAGTCATTTTCTACACGTTCTGTTCAACAAACCCTTTCCCCAAAGAATCTACTAGCAATTCATTATGCTGGATTGGTAGTCAAGAAGTTCCCACTCTCCAGAGACATCAGATCAACATATGGGGGGAGTTTGACATGTGCCATGGAGGTGCAAAGCTCCCTGCTGATCCATCCTGGCACACAGACCACTCAGTGTGTCTTCGTTCTATCCCAGGGAGGGAATACATCTCACAGGAAGGGGACAAAGAGGTGATGCAGGAAGAGCAATGCTCAAAGTAAATGACAAGGCACAGATCCTTAATAAAGGATGAAAACTCTAGAGAACAGCTAAGTTTGGGGATAAGCCTTTGTCACACGTCTCTAAGAAAATCCTTGTATATCCTTTGGATTTAATGTCTTCCTGTTGACGGGAATCCCAAGCAAAGCCGAGGAGCTCGATACTGCCTTTAGAAATGGGGACAGATTGGTCTTTCAAGAAGAAACCTCTGAGGTAAGATATACGATGAAATGTTTGAATTTGACTCCAGATCTACTATCTCCTGCTGGGTGATCCTGGAGATCATTCCAATCCTGCAGAAAACATCTTGGTGCAAAGGCTTAACTCAGCTTTGAGCTATCAAAGGTCCAAGAGATGAAGAGAGCCTAGTCTCAGTCTGTCTGTAACCACATAGGGTCTAGAAGAACAGTAACCACAAGAGATTTATGGCTCAGCAATATCAGAGAAGGGGCATGGGTTGGCATGAGTTGGGCATGTCCAACCAGACAGCAACGGTTGGACGATGCTGCTTATATGATTGCTCTTCTCAAAGTAGCAGCAGCAACTGAAAAGGAGGAAAAAATGGGTTGAACAATTAAAAGAAAAAAAGAGATCTAGGCACACAGAGTCTTGTCCTAGCAGAGAAACAATATTTTTCTCTCCTAGCCAAAATGAATGTGTGTGTCTGATTGATGCTGGGAGTCTCTGATGATTGGCTCCAGCAAGGTTAGATGTATGGATGGTTAAATTCTATTGATCTCACCTTCATGAGACCTGATGTTTGATTCCCTCGATGTCAGACTGAGTTAGTTTGATCTGATAATTTAGAATACCAACAGTGCTTAATGCAGACCAGAAATAATATCTGACATGCTGCCCTTCTGCCAGGCTCTTAATGAGCAATTTGAGGTGTTAATAGCTTGGAGACCATCTTCATTTCCAGCTCTGCCATGGAGAATCACATGGTGTCCACTGAGGGACCCAGAGAGAGTACATTGCTGCTTAATTAACATGCAGAGCAGAAAAGGGAGCTGTTGTAATGTCCACAGTGTTAATGAGCCAGCAAAGGGGCTATGCCAAACCCTTCAGAGCAGAGGCCACTATCCTGCCAGATGCTCAGGACCCTCAACTGCTACCAACTTAGCAGAGTTGGGTGACTCAGTATCTGCTAGAATAACAAGCACCTGCAGGCTCAGGTCCAGCAAAGCCAATTTAGGTGGAGATAGGGTAATTGAAAGCTGAAAACTGATTCAGCATTCACATTTCCAAAACCCTAAACTGGTTAAAAAAAAAATAATGATAAGAGTAAAGATAAACAGGCAACTGGCCAACAAGTGGCCCCAGAGGAAATTAATTCCACACAGGCTTCGCTGTAATGTGCTTGTTTCTCTGTTATTATAAGATATATGCATTGTTCTATCACCAAAATTAGATTTTCCCTTTAGCTTGTAATTAAACCCTAATCTAATTTACCAGGAGATGACAGAGGCCTCCAAGCAGAGCTTACAGCCCTGCTCCTCCTTCCCTGCCCACCTCCCTCCACCTGCTTTTCCAGACTTTCCTCTGCATTTTAGGGTCTGTTTTTGAAGGTGCCATGCATCAAGAAGGGCCACACTAAAGACTTGCTGTTACTTGGTAAGACCCAGCTGTGAATGGGCTACCCCAGTGGCCAGGTCATCTTCTCCTCCAAGCCCTCCTCATAGCCATAGCTAATTTCCAGTTCCCAAGAGGTCATCTCCTCTGAGCCAGAACACAATTCCATAAACGAAACAGTCTATTGATGATCTCTATTATTTGTAATAGCAGCACTTCAATGCACAATGGTTAACTTTGCTCAGTTTCCTAGGGCATTATGGAAAAACCATTTGCTACTGTAATTAAAACTGCCCAGACTAAACTTTTGTACTATGCAGAAAGGCCACAGCAGGAGGAACTGCTAAAAATGTGTTTATAGATGTGCTCCAGCACAACTGCGAGATGGCTCTTGGGCTTGAAAACCACAGACAGCATGGGATGGCCCTGCTTCCCAGGGATGTTTGGACAAGTGCTCCCAACCAACATCTACAGCTGCACCTAAAGCCACAGCAGAGCCTGCCATTTTGCCATAAAGCGCTAAATAGCCATTTTGTGAATGTGACCTGTGTTTTAACAGATGAAAACTCGCTTCACCAAAGCGGTATTTGCCTCAGGCCACAATGGTCTGAGAAAGCAGCTTTCTACACCAGCTTCCCTTCCCAGGGGAACCAGTATGGGGACTACAGCAAAGCAGCACCAAGAAACTGGGACAGCAGCATATCGTTCCGGTGGCAGCGCCTGTGTAGGTTCTTCGCATGAAATGACAACAAACAGGGTTGGCAGGGAAGGAAAAGAGGTCATGTTATATATCTGTTTCTCCAAGTGTCTAAGCATGGCTTTGTGGCTCCAGAGACAAAGCAGGATTCTAGGTTATGGGCTATGCAAAAAAGTGTTGGTAGTCTCTTACGGTCCCAGCTCGACTGGAGAACACTGTCTCCTTTCCAGTGTCAAACTGGTAGAGATCACCTGTTCCCTGAGCATCTAGCCTGACCACAGCTGGTAGGTGTTATTTCCACAAGGAAAAGTTGAAAGCAATTTATCAGATCCCAGGCAAACAGTCTTGGTCTTTGCAAAGTACTGAGAGGACACCAGGAAGAAGAGCTTCAAGGAAAGGACAAAAGTGCACATACCTCATCTGGTTCACCTGGCTGTCTGTCAGGAATGACCAGTGGTAGCGGACAAGAAGTGGGCTGCAGTTGGTCATCTCGATGTAACGCACATCTTCAGTGTCATTCAAGATGCAGCCAAAATCCAGGGCCGTGGTCTCGATATGGAGATTCGGAAAGTAGACTTCTCCCCGAATGGTGACCTGCTCCTCATGAGGATGCTCAAGAAACTGTATCTTCAGAGCCTTCTCTACTACCCGGATACCCAAATCCTCTTCATAAGCAGGGTTAAATCTGATGGAGAGATGAAGTTCCTCCCCTGTCTCCAGCTTCATGGGCTGCAAGGAGACGAAGAGTATTAATCACCAGTGTGACAAAGTCCCAAGGTCTGACAGCCTGAAACGTGTAAATGTTCAAAGTGTGATCACAATGTAGGCTTCTCAGTTCATCCTTCATTTTCTTCACGGTGTGTGCCTGACTGCAAGCACCACAGCACTTTTGTCTGAGACTCTCTCAGGCTCATGTCTCTGTGCTCTGCATCAATACAAGAGGGAGATAAATATTGTTCTACTGAATTCTGGACCCACAAAAGCTATATGCTGAATACACAACCAAATCAGCACTCTGGCGCACCAGGGCCTTTTGCCCTGCCTCTAGAGGAACTCCTTTATCCTCCCAGCACAAGTGACATGGCATAGCAGCCTCACCCTTGCATAGGCAAGTCACTGGCATAGAAGCGGTGGCCATGCCTACAACAACACGTGTTTAGCAGAGTCCATGTCCAACACCTTCCACCGACAAAGGGGCAGGTGCCAGGCAGAGGCTGGAGGAGCATCCTCAGCCTTCCTGAAAGCAGGGCTGCCCTTGAAGAGAGCAAGCTGCTCTTAAGGTTATCTGAGAACGGCTGCTGGAGAGCTGGGATGGCTTCCAAGGGACACCTTTACTACATGGCTTGCCCAGACCTAGTTGCCTGCTCCCCTCTCCTCATGTCTTAGAGCCAGACTCAGATGATATTTCATTTCCTTCAGCAGCTTGTTTCAAATCTGATTTAGTTCAGACCAGTCTACTGCTGACTCTGCAGAACAAACTTCTCTACTAGGAGGACCTCCCAACAGAAAGGTACGATCACACTTCTCCCTCTTCAAACCCCACCAGCAGAAAGGTCCATGGCTGCTCACCTGAACAACTGCAGAGAGGGGCTGCTGGTCTGCATCGCAGATCAAGAAGGGCTGCTCTAAGGTCAGGACAATGCTGAGTGGCAGGGAGGAGATGTTTTTTAAAGAAAGAGGCTTGTACTGCAGAGTTAGGACATCACTGGGTTGCTACAGAAACAGGAGACAAGGAAAAAACAACCTGAAGTGGCCATGGACCTCCTTCCCCTTCCAAGGCATTTCAAATTTTTCAGCCCCAAAAGTGCATATCTCTATTTACTGTTTTTATTAGTTTCTACCCTTCTAGAAGGTTTTTCTCTAAATATATCAGCTGCTTTTCATGTTTAGAAAACACAGCATCCCCCAGAGGACAGGGAAACAGTCTTGCGTACAGATGAGGGAATAAGACCCTGAAAGGAGACAGCTGCTTGAACAAGATCAAAACCAGAAAGTGAACCCAGACTGTTTGTCTCCAGTTTTATATCCTCTCTTGGGCAGAATGGTACAAGATGATTTTCAGTTGCATACAATAATTTCTTACAACCTTACTGGTTCTAGTAGCCTCATAAAAGCAGTGATGCTAGTCAGAGGAGAAAAGCAAGCAGGATTTAGCCCATAGCAGAGAGCCTGCAGTAGCCTAAGGTTAGCTTTGAACATTTACGTGCACATACAGCCAGCTAGAAACCTCAACAGTCTAATTGCAACGTGTGTCCTGCTGCCCCTACTACAGTGACAAGGTGTCTGTAGCTTCAAAGCTAAGCCCAGCCTAAGCTATTTCTTCTTGTTTATGCATTGCTCTGGGTTTCCTGCATGGCTTATATAAACTAGACAGTATTTGGGAAATAGTTCTAGACGTCTTGATATCCAACAGCTGCAGTGTCATAGCACTTGATAAATTGGAGCACATGGCATCAAGCAGACCACAGGCAGACATCAGGGACAGCTGAAAAGCCTCTAATTAAATCTGAACTGCCTGCTCACACAATTTTGTGCTTCTCTGGAAGCGTGGGAACCAGAGTAGAGACCTGAAAACACAGAAACTAAATAATGAAATATCTTCACTTTTTCAGACACCTCACAGTAGAGGGAGAGATGATGCAGGAGTTGGGATCCAGAGACTAAAGGGCACCTGCTTTGCATTGGTGTTATCATCACTGCAGCTGAAGGACATCTGCCAGTCCTTTGAAGAAGGTAAGGCCTGGGGAAATGCAAAGAGCTAGCATCCATACCATCCTCAGAGAAGGCAAAAAGAAACAAGAGATAAGAGTTTTTCCTCATCAGCCTGAGGAGTTGGCAGGAATCTCAGTTTCTCTCAGCTTTCCTACAGGATCCGTGTTCAGACATCACCATGCCTTGGAGGATCCTCAAACCCCTCCCCTTTATACTGAGTACAGAAACTGGTGTCTCTCTAGAAGTGGCCATGATCACCCCCAGCAGAGCAGCTGTAACCTCAGTTTTACTTTGGTGAAGTTAAAAACCAGTCCCATCTCTAAAAACATCCTTTCTTACTTTACAAAGCACCTCAGGAAGGGTGAGGAGGGGGTTTAGCAACACTCAGCTGCAGCAATCTGCTCTCTCACCTGCAGCCCCAGCACAGGAGGTGGCTGTGCAAAGCCCATGCTGTTCTCATGGGTCCCACACATCTCACCCTGCGCCCTTAGCTCAGCAGCTCAATTCTGCCTCCACATCAAGAAGGGCAGAATAGAGCTGGTGAGACTGTCCCCAACACCAGAGGAGCAAAATAATGATCTCAGTGTTAATGGCAAAAGCTTGGTCTGGCTCAAACCAATAGCCAAAGCTCCATAGACTTGGAGAAGCTGTTTAAGTTCCTCCTCTGAACATAAGCACACACACCCCACAGGCTTTCGGTCATCAGCCATGCCACTAAATGCCAGGATGCAATCCAGACACTTACCTTCTCTACCCGGAAAGTGATTTCTCTGGAAGACATTTGCAGAATGGGAGCAACAAACTCACACGTGACATCCACTTGCATTATCTGTGCCTTCCCTGCCCTGCTCCCCACGATGGCATGACACAGCAGCCGCTCCTTCACCACCTGCATGCAAGAGTCACACTTCACCCAGTGGGTGCTAGCAGGGTGTCCAGAAAACATATTGCATTTGCTAGCCACCTAACCATGGACTGTATTACTGCCACAAAGGTACAGTCACTGGTGTCCTCAATAGTCCCCTTTTCTTTTTATGCTGCATCCTGTTTATTCTGCACTCAAATGTCCATAATGCTACACCCTAATATCCACAAAAGGCACTCATGAGTCACGTGCTGCTTACAATTGCAATAATCCCTGCCCCAAATGATTATTTTTTATTTCTCCCATTGCCAAGCATAATGCTTACAGAAACCTATAGGAACTGATTAAAAAACCCAAAACCATATTAAGGGAAACAGGTGATAGAAGGGCCAATGCTAGCAAACCCTTTCTTGGAAGCTTAGTGGAAAGGATCCATGACAAAAACCCAAATAGCCTGACTGCCTTCAGGTAAAGAGGGGATCACTCATTGCCAGGATGTACTGTGCCCTCCTAGAGCTGGTTTTAAAATAAACCTCCCCAGGAAAGAGATGTCTTGCACTTCACATGAAAACCCTCTGCTTAAGCTGGATGCTCTTACATTCGAGACTTTTTCCTGATTTCTCATGGTTTCACTTCCCCAAATTCCCCTCTTTATTTCTCACTCTTCCCTCTGATACACCACCACAACTCAACTCCTCCTCAGAGCCTACAGACTTCAAAATCACCTGTGTTGCACATGCAATGCAGGGATTTGGGCTTCTGATCAAACTGAAGATTATTAAATTCTCAAGACCCAAGGAAGGTGGAAAGCCCGCTTCCAGGGTCTTGGCTTTGACAGCAGGAGCCACGTAGCCACAGCTGAGCTCATAGATGCCCTTTTGGCTTTCCAGGCAAGACACCCTCACCAGTGCCCTGATCACTTCATTTTCTTTCTAGTACCTTTTTCCTTCTTCAGCAAAACCTTTGGGCTCAGAACTGTTCAGGGACAGTCCCAGCACTGTCACCTAGGTGAGTATTCAAGTCTTCCCCAAACTACCACTGAGGCAACCCTTTAAAACACTAGTATCACAGCAGGATCTTAATGTAGATTTATTCCACATTCATTTAAACATCTGTGCCCAGCAGTCCTGGAGCCAGGATTAGCTGGTAGCTTCTCTGCAGAGTTGGATTTCCTCTGGAAAGAAGGGTCCAGGGAGGAGAACACCCAGTGACCCTGCTGAAATCTCCCCCCCGAGCTGCCATCCAAGGGTGCTGAAGACCTGGCTGCCCTTGGGACACGGGGGCTGACTGGGGCAAGCTGTTATGGAAATATTGACAAAAGTCAAGCTGTCAATTATAATGATTCCTGGGAACAGTTTCCCACGTGAATGAACATCACTGTGATCATTAGAGCTGACACACTGTGTTCATTTTTCTCCTCCAGGACTCAGTGCTAGACAAGCTCTCTGCCCATGTTTGTCTACAGAGGAAAAATGAAGCTCCCAGACACTTCCCCCAGATATATTATTTAGCATTTTTTTGTTTACTTTCTGCCTGTGCTCCTAGTCTAAGTGTACATTATTTTGCCTGCCCTTCCTTTCTGTCTCAGCACACAACACCTTCTAACCTGCCATTTGCCCCTGAAGTAGCAATATTTCCTTCAGCCCCTATTTTGGTATCAGCAAGTTGGGTTTATGGTAGCTATGGAAACATGAAAAAAAAGCCTTAGCAACTGATGGTAGCCAGCAAGGAAAGCAACTGGTGCTGCCATGGTAACTTGTGGCATTAAAACAGTTTCTTGAAAGCACTTGCTCATTGTCTCAGGCGCATGTCAAGGGGCTGCAGAAGAAGTCCCAGTGCAGGTGATCTGTTGGGGAAGGCTCAGTCCTTGTGGGGCACCTCACCTGGGGAGTGCTGGAGGAGCCTTCCAGCATCATCTCCATAGTCTTGCCCGGCATCAGCTCCATCCTCAGCGGTCGAAGCTTAAATACTGGGCAGGCAGGTTTGGGGCCCTGGGAGGAATCTTTGCCCTTGGTGTTACTGACAGCAGGGAGATGATCACGGTGGCGAAATGGGGTGAAACCTTCCGTTGTCCAATAGAGCTGATGGGTGCGTCGTCCTTTGTTTGTTATCTTGAAGTGGTAACAGCAGGCATCCAGGCTAAAAGAGAAGCAGAAATGGAAAATATCACGGTAGCTGCTATTTCCCAGTAGTCACCCAGCTTCAGCACTCCAGTGGTGTTACCTGACTGCACACTCAGCAATAAAACCACCTCTGGAAAGGCTGACCTAGCTCAAAGCTTCAACAAAAGCCAGACCTTGGTTGCCCCTAAGTTTATCACCATCCAGCAGCTGGTCTGCTTGCGTAAAGCAAGGAAAAGCTTCATGAAGCTCATCATCTCAGTTGCTGCAGACAGAGCATCACCAGCCTTTGGTGCTTAATACTCGGAGGATTTTTTCCAAGGTGCTTCCTGCAGGTCTCGCTGCATTAGACACTAAGCTGGCCTGGCCTAGCTGCAAGTGGATGGAGGAAGAGCTTCGCTGCCATTTCACCTTCCCCTTGGGATATGCTGCCTCAGATGGCTTCCTCTGAAGATGCTATTGGGGAGCTGCAGGTGATCTGGGCACCATTTGCCTTGCTGGTGGGACCCCTGCCCTGGCACCCATGTTATTCCCCCTCATCCCCCATCCCTTAGGGAGCATCCAACCCTCATCATCACCCCCCAACACATCAGCCTTTGCCTGAACAGTGCCACTTGGTTTGTGTTTTAGGAAGATAAATGCAGTGTGAGAACACAGGATCAACAGAAGTTTCCCCAATACAAATAGGGCAGCTGCTGAAGGAATGGAACAACAACAAGAGATTAATAACTAGAGCTAGGTATAAAACAAAATGAATATTCAATGGAAATTGATTCCTTCGTGTAAAGAAACATTAACTGCAGGCTCGTCTAGAGTAATTATTTTACCCTCTATAAATCTGAACATGACCAGGAAATGAATTGGTCCTGAAACAGTTATTGTTTTTCTGAAAGGTACAGAATATGTGGCTTACAAAACACGTCTGCTGCAAGCAGCTAAATACAAACACAGAAGTGACAGTATAGAACTAGTCTTTGAAACAAACTTAAAAAATGATGTGTACAAGTTCAGTATAAAATGGTTTATGTTGTGGACAGCAACAGATGAAAGCTTGCAGAAGCTCTGGGTAGATGCAGAATTTGTGGCTCTGGGAAAGCCCAACTCAGATGAGATGTTACCCGAGTCCCCCCTCAGCTCACCTACCCAGTGGCAGTTCTGCAGCCAACAGCAATGGCAACAACTCCAAACTGAGCCTGTGGGCAAAGACGTGAAGGGGGGCAGAGGACAAGGACATGAATCACATTGACACTATCCCCTCCGTTGTGTAGCCAATTTGTGGCTGCACAGAGCACAGGACACACTGGACAAGCACCAACCTCCCTGCAATGACCCTGCTTAGGTGGGTGGCTTGTGGATGCATATTTAAACCCCCCAAATCTATCCTAAATGCTTAAGGTAGGATTAACCTGTTCTTTCTACCCCAAAATTTAGGTATTGGAACACTGTGGACTCTCTTTGCAGTCAGGAAAAGGAACAGGTACCTTGAGAAGACTATTCCCATCCCAAGAGGTCTCCAACACAAGGCAAACAGCACTTTGAAAAGGCTTATTTCTCTCCCATTTATAAGAAGGTGCCTGGTTTCAGACACACCCATTAGGATCAGTGAATCCCCTCCTTGGAGCCAAGCTCTTTCAGTTAACACGCTCAGTTTATCCTGCCCAGCCTCAGTGGATTTCTCTTCGTTTCAGAGCTGGTCCTGCAGCCACCCTTGCTTGCCCATGCCTCAGGCTGCTGCTGCAGCATTGATGGAGGAGATGGCAAGGAAAGCAGGCAGAAGAAACAAAAAAAGAGCAACTACATCTAATAAAGTGCAGCCCAGCAGGGGACCCAGGGAAGATGAGCGAACTGAGGGATGATACAGGGCAAAGAAATTCTGCTGCTCCTCCAGAACTCCTGGGCAGAGGCGAAAAAAACCAGCACCATTAATTTAGTCGAGGAGTTGCTAACAAGCTACCGCTAAGGTTTTCCACTGTTGTGAGATGATACTCCATAGTTAATGGAAAAGCAAGGAACATTATTGCAAAAGAAAATATGTTTATACCTGTAATGTAGCATTTTCCAGCCGGAGGCTTCTGGGACCTGCTGTTATCAAATAAAGATTTGGAGGAAAAAGTGAAGAAATAAACGTATTATAACTAAAGACAATTCAGTGACAATTTAGCAACCAGTTTCCATTTTGGTGGCTTGGTGGCTTTTAAGGGTATCTAACGACTGTTCCCTGCGGCTTCATTGAAACAGAGCCAGGACCTTGCGCACTGAAGAAGAACTAGCCTGAAGGACGACAGCAAAACTCCTTGCTGAGCTCACGGGAGCTGAGAGATACCCTACCTGAAATGGGGTCCCAAGTTGAGCTCCGGAGCAAAGGGTTTGTCAGTGACAATTGTGGTGCCGATGCCAACAGCCCGGACGGGGATGACATAGGTATGGCTGTTCTCTATGAATAGGTTCACCTCGTCTTTGAATTTCTCAGTGTCATCCAAGTTTGCTATGACAGCCACAGACACCTTGGTCTCAGGGGGGATCACTCCTTTGCTGGGTTCAATCCTCCAGCATGAGCATTTGCCAGCCTGTAAGACAAACCAAACACTAACTTAGGACAGAAACCATGAAGCCTGGTCTCTTGTGGGGTGCAGGAAAAGGAAGGACTAAAGATATGATGGTAAAAACCATAAAGGCTTAATTTCCCTATATCTAAGCTACGGTGTCTGGAAACAGCAACTATGCAGCAGCTTATACAAGCTGTATTTTACCCTCTAACAGACTCACTTCATTAACCCAGTTTTGCCTAACCCAAGGGATGCCTATTCTCAGGAGAAGGTTACTCCCCCTCCATTCTCTCTTTTGGAGCACACGCCAAGGGAAGCTACTTTATCTCTCCTGGCTTCCTGACAATAATGGCCACGTTTGCATAAAGGCTCAAGGCCAGAGGAAGCCAGGACTGCTCAAATCCCACTGCAGTGGCCACATGGCTGGGGGATACTGCTGAAAGCCTGAAGAATAACTGCAAAACCAGTTGATCAAAACCCCAACACCAAAGTCTTCTTTCCCAAGAGTTAGGCAGTGCTTCTCAACAGCCCCTGAGGAACTGAAGCACCCAGTTCCCACTGATCATCAGCTGCAGCAAGGTACCCCAGTGTCCTCTGCTTTGGAAAACTCAGCTATAAATGTTTATAGCAAGGCAGTAAAACAATAAGGAAAAAGAAAACTGCAAGACATGCCCTGTGGGCATGGCCCAGGCTTCCCAATCACTCTCTTCCTCTGGTTTCTCCTCGAACCTCCCTCTACGGATGGGGCAATAAAGGTGCTGGACCCCAGCCTATCTAAAACCACATTCACAGGAAATAAGCTTGCAGAAGAGAAATGCATGCAATGCTCCCTGGCCAGCAAGAAATGCACTGGGATGTAGACATAAGGCTTCAAAGTGTCCATCACAGTGTTAGCGGTACATGCACCAGAGGTCAGTACTGTGTTTGGGACGACAGGCACTACTCACTCAAAACTCCACAGTATTCTAAGAAAAAAGGTTTTTTTTCATAGAAAGCAATGACATGCTTGGAGACCTGACATGATCCAAGCAAGTGCTTGATCCAGGTGAAGTTAGCTCAGATTTCCATCCATCAGGCTGGCAGCACTGAGCTCTAACAGGACACCAGACAGCCCAAGGGAGAAGAGCATCAGAAAACCAAGCAGCACTTCGAAGTCATGGGAAGCATTTTAGAAACCCCCCCCAAAACAACCTCTGCTAACAAGAGTAAGACTAGCCAAACACCAGGGAAGCAATAAATTGCTGAGCATTCAGGGTCCCAGCAGCATGTATAGATGCCCCATCTACAATAACTCCTTAAGCTGACTGTGACCTGCACAGAGGGCAGGGCAGGTCTGCATGCCTGCATCCCAGGATGGAACATGCCAAAGGCATCTAAATTATTCCAGGCACTGGCAAAATTAATGAACTCAGCTCCATTTAATTTGCCCTCTAGAGCTGCAAAACAAAGTCTTAAAAAAAAAAAAAAAAAGAAAATGAGATGGAAGAAGGTGGTTGGCACAGGGCAAACACTGGGGCCTCGCTGACCACATTGGATCCCACCAACCCTCTTCTGTTGTCCCCATATCCTGTGTGTAGCTGCTCACTAGCCTCGGAGGCATCCACTGCACTGCCGTCAGCCAAGGGCTACCCAGCCAACACGTTCACACCGAGCCAGTGGGTGTTAGGTTTTCATTGACATTAACGTACAACTTTTCCTCCGATTCATGCTGATATGGGGTAGCTCACTTGAAAAGGAGACCCGATAGCTCTGCTCCAGAGGTGAATCTGCAAGTCTGCCATCTGACAAAGCTCATTTATCAAAGCTTGGCAACAAGCCAGGCAGTAAATTGTACCCAAGAAACTATTACTGAGGAATAATGATAGGCTGTCTCAATGGAGCCAGACTTCAAATTTCCCAGGGTGACATAGTGCAGACCCACCATACCCTGCCAGGCCAACAGCCCACTCCAGAGAAGCATAATTTGCATCGTGTCCTCATTCTTTCAGTTAGCATTTGATGTGGGTCCAAGGGGCAGCACAGTGCATCACTGAACAGGAGACCTGCCAGGACCAAAAAGCTCTGCCAGGCCAGATTCACTCAGGTTTCTAGGTCAGCTTCTGCCTACACCGATCCAGGCTGTGTCCCAGAGACTAGAAATCTCTTGGAGACATGCTAAACCTCCCCCACAACACACACACTTTGAAGACCAAGATCTAACTTCTGATAACATCCCTGCTACTTGCTTATCCTTGAATGCTGCGGAAAATGATGCAATAGCTGTATGCACTGGATAAGCAA